AGACGCCGCCGCCAGCGCCCGTTGCCCACACCCAGGTTTCCACCACGCCACACTCCCACTCACATCCACCAACACGCATGTTCGGTGACACCGTCACTGCTCACCATGTCAATAAGGTTATTTCAGAATTATATATAATTATTTTTTTGCCAATCAGACTAATTCCTAAGAAATATAAAACCAGAATTAATAAGTAACCACAAGTACAACATTGCAACATTAAGCCCATAATGCTTCCAATAACTAAAATCTCTAGTAGCGTGGTAAATTCTGAAAAATTAACTCTATCTAGGAATTCATTACTAACATTTTAAATTTTATTGCTTTAGGGTCGCTTGGGAAGCAATTCTCCAGGGCTACCGCCGACTTTACCGGCGCCGTCGCCGGGCGCCCTTAGCTCTTCAGCTAGTGCGACATTCCATGCTTCTAGTGGAACTACCTCCGCTACTAATGCAATTAAGAGTTCCACATCTGCCGCCAGCTTTACTACCCATGCTGTTATTGAAACAAGAAGCTTTGGGCCGCAAACTCTCCCAATGCGTTCACAGGTGCGGTTGCAAAATAAATGAGGAACTTTTGACATTGTCACAGTTATGTTTTTTTTCACGTTTTCTTTTATATATGTTAAGGTGGCACAAAACAAAGCTGTCCCCACTAAGAGTGCTGTGGCAACAGTCGGAGCTGTGGGTAACGTATCACTGCATAGCTCCAATGATTCAGGGTTTTCAAATGAGCCTCCGCCACAACCTGATGTTGACTACAGCGACGAAGAGGCACAGCGGCTTCGTGTACCAATCAGGTATTTATTATATTTGTTGTTTTTGTGTGAGTAGATCATTGTGTTTTTATTTGTTTATGCTTTTTGTAGATTTGCTAGACTTATTATTTAAATTTTTGTTTGTAGTAAAAACCAGCTAACCAACGACAACAAAGCCTATTTGTTAAAAACACAAAGTCTTAGACGTGGCCCAAAGCCCGCAAATGCAAACGGGTACTTAACTGATGATCAACAATTGTTACTGCGGAACATGCTCGACATGGACAAAGATTCTCAGAAAGTAAAAAGAACAAAATCCTTCTGGAAATTCGGTCGCACAACTTCTGAAGAGATAATGGAGGGAATGTCTCTATGGCAACATAGAGATATCGTGGATACAGTACCAGAATACAAGAAAAAATTGTTTACAAAATTAAAGAAAGAATTACGCCCTGCTCCAGATATACCTGAACCCAGAAAACCTACAAACAACGAAAATAAGACTTCACCCGAAAGTGTTCAAACACGACCACAAGATAGAACTACAATTGATAGAAAAGACGTAAAAGTGACTGGTGGATTACGACAAGCTAAAAGTCTGGGATCTATACAAAATGAAGAACGTATCGAAACAATTAAGAAAGACAACGAAAATTATCAGCAAAGCCAGGCAATAAATAAAAAGAGCATGTCCGAGAAATCAATAGTCGAAGAAAAACATGAAGACTTTACACTACGAAATGAATCTCGACACTCAGACTTAACTAATACAAGCACTATTAAAACAAACTTTGAAAACAGTTTTTATAACGATGAAAATGGTGATGGCTTTGTAATGAAAACTGTGAAGCGGAGAGAAATACTTCAAAGATACGACAATGATAGCAGTTCTGATGTTAATTCTGTTGCTTCAAGCACTGATCCATACGATTGTATTATTGTTGACGATCATATGACATCAAAGAAGCAGCAAGAACTTGATAGACGCAGACAAGGTCGTATGATAGACGAAGAAGTTAAAAAGAGCAAAGAGAATGCTTACATGCCAGAGTTCGAAGAAATAGAAATAAATCCCATTAAACAACATGTTCGTGGCACAGCAACTAATGAGAAAACCAAAAAATCGTCCATAGAGCGTTCTCAGCAAGTTATGGAATTCAAAACGTTCAAAGATAATTCAAAGGAAATTAAAACATTCTCTGCTTCATCCGAAACATTGAAATACAAAGACAATGAACCAATCGCTGATAGATATGGCATTCCCATAGAGCGCAATAATAATGAGCCGTATAATGGTTATGATGATGGAACTCTAAAATACAAAAAAGGTAGAGAAAGCAAGGAAGAAAAGAATCGTCAATCTAATGGCTTCGAAAATGGAAAGAAGATTAAAGAATATCCACAAAACGAAAATCGTCAGCTAAAGAAAGAGCAGCGACCAAATGAAAATCGAGAACCGAGAATTGATTATTCTTTGGACAGACGTCAAATTAGAAAGGATTTCAGTGATACCAAAAACAGAGATGCTAGATTAAGAAACAGATCTAACAGGAGTTACGATGACAGTACTTTACCATATAACGGACGAAAGGAAGAAAGGTACTACGATGCTAATATTTCGTACTTCAGCGACCAAGAACGACGTGCATCGCGATACGATTACGAAACTGATTCCAAAAAAGCTGAAAAATCTAAAATAAGGCAGGAAGAAGCCAGGCTTGAGGCGAGGCGTTTTATGGACCGTCGAAGTGAAGGCCCCTACAGTGAGTCCGATGACCAAAAGTTCAATGAAGCCTTAAAACAACAGCGACCCCAATTACTTCCACGCACAAAACTGCTCAAAAGAAGTGTAGATGGCAGTGAATTACCGGAAGAAGGTCACACATTCGGGCCATGGTACGACTTATGGGGTCGAGAATCAGCCATGTATAAGTAGCCTTAGACTTTTTTGTATTCTAGTTTTAGTTGCATTTTACGATGTATGTATAGTTTTGTCCATTTTTTTAATTTTGATCATTTTTTATTGTTTTCTTGTTGTTAATCAATCTTTACTTTAATTTATTTAGTATCAACATGTAGATCGTTTTTTATAAATGTAACATTTTTTTTTATTTAACAGTTTGGTTCAGAAAACTAGAGCTAGGGGATTTGTTATTATTTCCTTAATAATCTATGAAATTATGGGTTGCGGTAATAATCATTCTGTTTTCTTTTTCGTTACTTCTAGGGTTGTGAACCCTGCCTTTAGGCGCTAATATTCGATACCATAAATTCTGTAGTCATTTATCTCTTTTATCCTGGATTTTGTTAAATTTTATGGCAAATTTTATTAACATCTAATTTACGTGTTTACTTACTAAGTCGTTGCATTAAGTACCTGTTATTGGACCAAGATATTTTATTTATTTAGAAAAAAAATTACAAACAATTTGTGAAAATATTACCCATTCCTTACCTACATATCAGATAATTGGAAATTATCCATTTTTATTTAAATGATGAAACCCGTTAATTTGTAGTACAAATTGCAATCTAATCAGAGGTTGAAATGATTTTAAATAACGAATTAACTAATAAAAAGTTTGTATGCGTTTTTCTACACAGGCCACAACAATTCGCGACGGTGAAACTAAGAAAGGCATTAACAAATGACCGGTCGTCGCCTGCCATTGATTAATATTATACTTAAATATTTTGTTATATGTATGTACTAAAATGTAAATTAGAAACACCATGTATTTTGTACAGTTATTCATAGTTTAAGAAAGAATATATCACAATTTTTTACAATAATGTTTGTTTTATTTGTATCCAAAACCACCGCAACTATGACATTTAATGGACGAATACATTTTTTTCTCTATTCAAAATATTAGTAGATTTTTGTTAATTTACTAATATTTCCTTTAACAATTCCAACTAAGCTCTAGGCTTGTGCTAGGATATGGTTTACGACAATAGTCGGATGGTGGGATTCGAACCCTCGACTGCAAAACGGTAGTCCGTACCCAAACCATTATCCAATAGCGCTTTTTAGCACACATTGGCACCTCACTTTTTAAAATTCGTCATACATAAGTCAACATTTTATCATGTCTTACTAACTTCTTACTAATATTATAAATAGTGCAGATAGATGAATAGATGTTTCGTAGAGTTTATCGCCTAAACGGCTGAACGGATGTCGATGAAATTTGGTATAATAAAGGTTTAGTCTGGAAAACAGATAGGCATTCTTTTGTTATTTTAATTCCACGCGGACGGAGTCGCGTGAGAAAGCTAGTTTACGTCAAAACAGTGGTCATCATTTTCAGCTTTGCTAAAGTTAGGTGACGTTAAACTTGACGAAAGATTTTTAAATTTATAAATTACAACTTTTATGCAATTTAATAACCAAATTAAGTTAGTAGTGTTCAACGGAAATGTAAATTTATACATGTAACATAAGTTAAAATGGAAGACCAAGTTTTGAAAGCAGAATAGAGTTTCCGAAACAGAGAGGGATGATATGCCGCAAAGCAAAGCTGAAAAGTTGCCACCGTTATTAAGTCGCGTCAAGTTTATTATGGAAGTTTACCCCTGAGCTTTAGCAGCGCAGGCCACGTAAGTAACAATGTATACTTTAAAAGGGAATTAAAACTTTCACTATCCAAGTTTAATTGTCCTGATTATACGTTAAGTGTCAATTAGTTTTATATCACAAAGAATTTATTACCGAAATTTCACATAATAACCTATTACTGCTGCAAGTCAGTACTACGTGATTTCTTTAGCAGTGGCGACTGATTCAAGCAAAATATCCTGCTGAGCTGATGTCTTCACAATAATAAGCGTACATAATCGATCATTTCATTATATTTTTAACTGTAATAAGAACTACAGATAATATGATTAAGGGAAAACGGCGTAAGTATATCTACACAAAAGAATATAGAAAACTAAAGAATCATAACTTTAAATAATAAAATATAGTTAAGTCAATATAACGTTAAAATCTAAACCGCAAAGTAGAGAGTAAGAAGACATCTCTGAGGGAGAATTTACATTTTTTATAAGGCATTACAAAGAAGTCTGTCACAAACGACTGGCACTCATTTGCAGTGCGCTTAGATATTTCTAAAGTGAATCGGTAGCAAAGCGGGGAAAAGAACTGAGATTATATGATCATACCGAACGTAACAAAGCTTTATTCCTCATGATTTCTAACTATATCTTTATATTTAATTTGGAGAAGTCTTCTTGTATGGTTTAAAATTGGAGCTGTTAGTTACATTTATTTTCCTAGACATTTGTATGAAAGATTAATATTTAATTTTAATACCAAAATAAATCGACGTGTAACATGTTTCCTTGTAACATTTGGAACCGTAACAAAAAGTTGACAAAAACAAATTTATCAGCGGATGACAAACAAAACGCTTAGGAAATAGGGAGAACGGCATCGACATAAAAATCAATTTGCAGTGCAAATCGAGCGAGGAGACCAATGCTTTCCAAGTCATCGGTTCCCTTTAAGCGCCTTGGCCCGGAAAAATCTACAATTTTGTAAAAAAATATATGTGGCAACTTTTTTAAATGCAGCGGTTGCACACATCACAGCCGCGTCGCGCGAAATGGGAATTCCATTTTGCTCGCGCTTTACTGCCGATATTAAAAATGCGTTTTTTTTTGTTGTTTCGTTTTTAGATTTCACATGTGAATCGTGATTAATAAATAGTTCAAACCACTCCAATCACGTAGTAAACTAATATACATGAAAGAGACAACTTTTTTAATATCAAAAAACAAAAACTGTTTCCATATCCAAAGACTGAATCAATACAATTTTGAATTACTTTACAATATAAAATAAATCTTTTATATTTATTCATGTTAAAGTCATATGATAATAAAATAAAAACATAAATACTAATGAAGACTATTATCTGCGTCGCATTGTATTTTCATTTGTAAAACAGCCATAGTCAAACTTATGTAAAAATTTAATCAATACGTGCCTCGTGGTAATTCGATTTCACGAAATACGTGTTCATTACCGCTGTGTTCACCGTTGGCTATTCACAGTACCCTTACCACACATAATTTAAAATGTGGGATAGTCGCGTGACACGGCATATTGTTTGCCGCGCTAGACGTAATCCAAATGATAAGCGAACTGGGCAATTTGGCACCGCCGGCGGTCTCTATCGGAGCAATGCCAACCCGCGCCCCCTACTGCCCGACCCCGCACATCACATGCAACTTTATCCAAGCCAATTTTACTTTGTTTGGAATTACGTAAATATGATAAAATGTTATGGACACAACATTAAAAGAAATTTAGATATTTTGTGACATTTATGCTTGGAGTGAGTGAACTTAGAATGTGATGGATTGCTTGAAAAGTGACATGATCAAGAAGGGAGTGAGGATGGATGTTAGAGTTATCAGGGGGACGAAAACTCGAAGAGAAACTCCAACGGAAATATGATAAGGTTGATGAGTTGATTATGATGATGATGATGGAATTGTAAAATTTTTACTTTGTCGGTTTGTAGGTCTGCTCTTACAAAATCGCGACTATAACACGGACTCTTAGTGTCTAAATGCAATTATTTTTTTAGGATTTTTAAGCTCCATGGCAGTCATTAAAAATCAGCTTAACGTAATGTCTAAAAAGTTTTAAATATGGTTTAACTGGATTTTTTTAGGTAAATTGAGTCAAAACAAACTCCACACTTCGAACGAATTTACCTTGAATTACCAACTTGTAGTAAAATTTTTCACCATCTGTATTATTTAAGCAACTTTTGCAGTCGACACCAAGTTTTTCGCTCTGTTTCGCGTTGAAACTCGCTAGAGACATGAAATATATGTGATTTAAGGCAAAGGTAAAAGTGAAATAGTCTTTCGTGGTTTGCAATACATCAATGTCCATAAACAAGACATTGACACATTTGCTGCCAAGAAAAAACATGTTTTGGAGAACTTTTTTTAGTTGATGAACATACTTAGCAAAAACATTTTGATCAATAGACAAGGCGGTATATCAGGCGAATCTAAATCTTTAGTTTCCGATCCGAATTTTTGGCCAAGCTACAAAGAAAATTTCGACACAAGCTGGATCAGCAGAATTGTCGTACAACAAAACATATTTCATAACTTTCTCATTATATATCATGATTTTTTTGTGGTTTCTAATAATCCAATAATTCAAGAAATCCCTAATTTACAAAACAATAGGCCCGTATGGTTATACCCCTGACAATGCGAAATAATAGGAATCGAATGTTATCTTACTGCCTAAAATATTTTTAACCGTTTTAGTTACAGACGTAACTATTAAATTGATGATGGACATTAATCTTACTAATATTACTAATGCGAAAATTGGGATGGATGTACGTTTGTTACAGTTTGTAACCTAAACTGCTGAACTTATCTTGATAAAATTAAGAAAATATGTAGAGCAAAGACACATAGACTATCGACTTTTGTTTTTTTTTTTTAAGTCTTAATGGATAGGACCGCGGGCGAAAACTAGTTCTAATGTAAATCAATACCCTAATGATTACTTTTATTACCGCTTATTGAAAACAGTATGGTTGAAAAGCGATTTAATTTAGAAAATAAAATATGTGCTGTAAGTAAAAGCTCTGTAAACATAAGGCGTAACAAAAAGTCTTGTAATACTTTGACGGGGTTAGAATAAATTCTAGTACATTTTCAGGTCGGGTTCTCTTTTGAAATCTAATACATATTGCATTAGCGGCGACTCGGCGTGAATGTAATCCCTGCGACGATATTGTTTTTAGCTCTACTTTGTGGAAGATCTCGCTCCTTCGGGAGTAAAACTTTGAGTATGGGACAGTTTCTACAAAACTTAACACTGAGTCTTCTTTATTTTTATATATTTGTCTATGCTAAGCTAAGCTATACTATATGATTTTTTTGCATGTTCATTACATGTGTTTTGTGTTGTCCCCGTAGATATTTAAATTTTCAATTACCCAGTAAATTTTGTGTCAATGTTTTCTAGTTAAATTCAAAGTTTTTTTTAATTGATACGATGATTTTATAATTCCTGATTTGAAACAATGATATTTCAAAGTTAATAAAATTGAAATTGAGGCTATTAGCGTTTCCAAAACAAATAATTATGATAGTTCAATAACCATAAATATCCAACAAGAGTTAAATGGAGTAAAAATAGTTTGGACAAATTATTGTATTTTTCGCGTTACAGCACAGTTTTACGGAGCGTAAAAGCAAGACGGACAGTGCCTGTCACTTTGTTTTGTTCCGGAAAGTAAATGTCAATAAACTTGAAGTGCGCCCTCCGAGGGAAAGTGTCCACGCGTGTACTTTGTTGTTTCTGTGGAAATGGGACTAATGTAAAATACATGTAAAGTTGGAACGATTCAGGATTTTTACTGGACGGTCATGTTGTGTATGCAAAGCCTTCTCTATCTTGAAAGTAAAACATTTAATCTCTGGTACGTGTATGACATACATTTAATAGCAAATTATTTACGTCATAAAATAATTTATCCAAAAGTTGGTGTTTTTATTTGATTTCTAACCTTAAATTATTATCAATCTTTATCATGTAATCATAGTTAAAACTAAAGAAATATGATCGAAAAAAAAACAAGAAGGAAAAAATGTAATTAAAGTTGCATGGAGTTTCTTTTATAACGAAATAATAATATGTAAGTTACTTCTAGTAGTATCGTAAGTTACTTAAAGAAATGTATACTGTTTATAATACTTTAGAAAAGCTTTAAAAGTTAGTTCAGTGTTCGTATCCTCGT